ATAGAGAACAGATGACATATTATGAAGAATAATGTTGAAAGAAGAATGCCTAAAAATTGAAGCAATTTACAGTTGAAAGATTCCTCAAGAAACAGTTAAAAATTATTATTATGTTGTGTAATTGTTATGCATTTTTTTGTGACCACCATTTTGACAGCAAAGAAATTTGAATATATTAGTTTTTAATATTAATAGAAGTGAGACTTTAGATGTTTTTATGGGGAAATGATTTTAAATCATTTAGAATAGTTAGTTGGGTAGTTTTGATGAATGGAAGAAGATCCATAATTTTATATCAAGCATTGTTGAATCATGAAAATGTTGAATCATTCAATTGGTTTTTCAATTGTATAAAGAATGTTTTTTTAGAGCAACCAGGCTTGATTATGAGTGATTATGCATGACATTTCCTTGGAATCATCAATTGAGAGTAGTTTTCTAGACAAAAATATCATTTGTGGATTTTCCATATTTACAATAATTTGCATTATAATTTTATCCAAATAACTATTCTTTTCAGTTCACCAATTGTATTTGATAGAATATGGAATCAAATTATTCAAAAATTACCTAAATAAATATATTCACAACTCCAAAGAAAAATGGGGCTGGTCATGGAAATGCAGGATAATGACAGCTGGTGAAAAAACATCATCAAAGATTAAAAGGTTTGAATGCTGTTATAAAGACAGTTAAATGCCTTGTTGATACACAGATTAAAGAAAACATTCAAAAGTCTGAAAAAAAAGCTTCCTGGTATCCCGCCAAAAACATGTATCCTTCAATATTACATTCTCAACTTACAATGAGAAATACTCTTCTATTTTTTCTCAATCCAGAATTAAAATTGAGATGGTTACTTTATGATCATATAGTTTCTTAATATCTTCTGTTGAGGAACTTTTAAATGTGCTAAATGATAATGATAATAATGATATTACCAATGTGGCCAACATCACCAACTACAAATACTACCAGTAACATTAATAATGACAATAACATTATTACTACCATTCCCACCACTTCCATCAACAATATAAATGTGATATCACTAGCGTCAGAAGTTTTCCTTTAAGAATTACTTCTTTCATCCAGCATGGAACTGTCTAAAGTATGGATTCTGAGACACTATTTTGGACATAGAAAACAATATGTAATTGTTT